ATTACCTCTTATATAAATGCAAAATAACAACTAATTTGTTAAAAAAAAAAATGTTTTTTTTAACTGAAATCTCAGACATTATATTAGTTTAAATCAACCTCCTCAGTCGACCACATCTGTGGGTGTATTTTGCTTTTGTTTAATTTCTTTATTCTAGAACTTTGCTCTATGATGATGACGACATTCTGTTATAATTATTACTAGCCGAAAAACCTACTTTTCAAAATTTCAATCTAAGGACTAATGCTTGACTTTAAAAATAAGTCAATATGCATGTAGGAGGTAGCATCACATTATAAAGGCTTCTTTACTGCAAGAAGGACTAATACACTTAGCAAAATAGATGATACCATGAAAGAAGAAAACTATGTGGAAATATTGAAGCAACATCCCAAGACGTCAACTAAGGAGTTAAAACTTGGGCTCAAACAGGATTTCCAAATAAGCAATGATCTGAATCACACCTCTAAATTAGTAACAAAATGGCCTGAGGACAAACAAAGTCGATGGTTTGGAGTGGCCGCCACAAAGTCCTGATCAACGAACTGGTACAACTGAAAAAGGTGTTTGACAAACTTGACTGAGTTACAATCATTCTGCTGGGGGAATGGGCCAAAATTCCTGCAAACTGTAACGGTATAAGAAGTTTTATGGAAGAACGACAAACAATGCAGTTCAACAAAAAAAATTAAGATTTGATTTGAAAATGTTGTTCTGTTATCTTTCTATGTTGACATAAAGTGAAAGGGATAAAAACAAACAAACAAACAAACATCCTAACTGACTTAAAACATTTTTAAAATTTTTTTGTCAGATTTCATATCAAATCTGTGATGTAATCACGGTTTCGTATTTTTCCAACTTTCATGAATCACTAGTTTCTCCAGGTCTTCAAACAGGGATGGAAAGCAGAACTTCATTTGACTAAGAAGTTCACTTGAGAAACATACTTTTTCAACTCGCCATGTAAAAATCAGAGTGAAAAATACAAATCAGAAGATTTTCTATTTGCCAAGGCTGAAAATGAAGTCCATTTAGTGTTGCGACTGACAAAAAAAGAACTCTGATAGTCAAATTTGTGCTTTTTTTTTTTTTTTTTTTTTGTAGCCGGGCAGTATTATCGAAATGAAGTAAAATTGCACCCAGTACCAGGAGAGGAAGAAAAAAAAATCTTCAAAAGAAACAAAGCCAAGTGAACAACTAAGATGTAAAAATGTGCTTTGTTCATCACAGGGAGGGGAGAGAGAGAGAAAAGACTCCACTCAGCGAGCCCTGAATGCTGCATTTCATGCCTGCAACAATTATGCTGAAAGGTCAAGTATTACAGCATCTTGTGCTCCGTTTTGCATGCAAAGTATTTCAGTTCGCAAATGACCCTCGTTTGCGCTCTTTGCACAATGGCTTGAAGAAGCAGATAAACGCAGGACAATTAAAGATTTTTTTTCTTCTCTCTTTTCTGCCGGCTAGCTTACAATAACGTTTTCCCGAAAAGGGAGTGATTGCAGTTTGCTGTGTAATTGTCCCATTTGAAATGCACATGAATGCTCGGGCCTGCTGGAATAAAATGTTTCGGAACTTTAAAAAAGAAAAAAAAAGGAAGCAGAAAGTGTGAACGTTTTCAAAGAAGGAAGTAAGTCATTTTTTTGTATGATGTCCAAGAAAAAAAAAAAAAACTAATGTGTTAGGAAGTATTTAAAAAGCAGACAAACAGCTTGTTGAAGAGTGCAACCTTTTTTTTTTTTTGCTATTGTACTCTTTTATTTTTTTCCCCCTCCGTGATGAATTTGTTGTTCAGCACCATGGACAGCCCCAAGCTGGACCGTCTTGGTTTTCATGAGAAACCAAACCAAACCAAACAATGACACAATTAGGATCCAATCGCAAGTGTCTCATACTTTAACTTTTAAAAAAAATATATTAAATGTAACATCAAAAGAGAGAGAGAGAGAAAAAATGTTTCATAAAGGTTGAAAATGTTAAATCGCACACAACTAACCACAGCTTTTTATTACTTTAAACCTCTTTCTAAGTCTCAGATGTTTATCCTAGTCACGACTATAAGTTTGGTCTGACATAAATGTCTTTTTATTTATTTATTTATTTATTTATTTATTAATTTGGCAGATTTCGATCCGTAATTAGTGTCATTAATACGATTTTACACTATGTAATCCATCGAACATATGTAGGTATCATGCCGATTCTACCTTTTAGATACAACGACAACAACAACAACAACAACAATAATAATAATAATAATAATAATAATAATAATAATAATAATAATAATAATAATAATAATAATAATAATAATTCAGAAAGAGTATTTTTCATTTTACAATCTGCTTCCACTTGTTTTTTCTCCCTTTTTTATCCTTGAACCATCAACTCGTTCATTCTTAAGTTTTGCTTTTTAAGACACACACACACACACACACACACACACACACACACACACACACACACACACACACACACACACACACACACACACACACACAGTTTTAATATCCGCTCAAAACTTCACATTCAGGCTCCACTCCACTCCGGCTCAGAGGGAACCCGCTTGCTAAAGAGGCGAATAAAATTCACCAGCTAGTCGCTAACTCAAATATGATTACCTTGAGATTAGAGACTAATTGCTCGGGGTTCATGGAGGCAGCCCACCATAAAGCCAGGAGGACTCGGGGAGCCGCGCTGTGGGGCTTTCCACAAAGGAGCGCGATGAGAGCGCGCACGCTTCCAACAAGTCATTCTCGACAGCTACAAGCCGCGCACAAAGACCACACACGGCGCCAAAGACATGTTAATGTAATCCCAAAGTTCTCACTTCTCTCCGCGAACAAAACGCGCTCTGAAAAATACCTAATAGAAGACAGTTTCTGATGCTGGGCTGGAGAATTTTAACTCAAAGGTCTTCTGGAAGGGCTTTTTTTATTATCGTTATTTCGCGCGGGAGGCCTCAAACTGAGACCGCTTTAGGAATAAAAAAAAAAAAAAAGTGAAAGAAAGACGTTGCGAACATGCAGCCGTGTGTGTGTGTGGAAATGCCCAACTCTTCAGTAAAAACTGTGGAGGGGGGTGGGGGGTGGGGGTGGGGTCACTTTTAGAGGAATGCGTAAAAACGCTGCATTAAAACTAAACAAAACAAACAAACAGAAAAAAACAGCCCTCTTGAATACGTTTTTAAACTCAGTGGATTATGTGTTCTACTAGTAAATAAATAAATAAATAAATAAATAAATATTAATGAGTTGTCCATTAAGCTGGATAACAGTCTACAGTATCAACGACAGTTAATAGTTACATGCAGATATTGACAATAGCAGGTTCAGTCACTTTAACCTATTACTATTTCTGAACTAATTGTTTGGTAACGCTCAGAGTGAGAATGCAAAAAGATATAAACTTATATACGTGTGTGTATAAATAATAAGTCACAATCCCTCCAGTGACGGTTCGTCATTCCACAAACATGAACTTTCTACTGAGGACACATTTTTACAAACTTTGGATTCATAAAGTTTTTAGAAACTTTTTCGTTTGGTTTTCTTTTGTCTTTCCAAAATTGAGCAGAAGCGGCTCGAGTTTATATGGGGCCAGCAGCAGCAATAAATTTAATAATAATAATAATAATAATAATAATAATAATAATAATAATAATAATAATAATAATAATAATAATAATAATAATAATAATAATAATAATAATAAATAGCAACAAATAAATTGTGAGACAAAATCATTTCTCTCAATTTTGTGTCCACAACACAACACGTCTGTGCCAACTTAGTAAAAGTCATAAATATATCCCAATTGCTTTTGATTTATTGATTAGTTTCCAGCTACATTCTCCATAGAATCTCACTTCAGAACAGACAAAAGCAGCAAATATCACTCACCTACTGACATGAACTGTAATTGCTAACATGATTGCTTATATATATATATATATATATATATATATATATATATATATATATATTTGATCCTAAATAATCTTACTTTCAAAGAGTTTTTTTTTTTAATTATTATATGTATATGTATTTAAATATGAAACTTTTGGATCAATTTTCTAGCTAAAATCTAAAGTGCTTATTGCCCCCCACCACCCTGGCCTCGGGGGGGCCCAAACCAGCAGCTTGACTCACTTATGTCTTGTGACGCCTCTGAATGTGAGCGTCCTAATTTTAACCTCGTTGTGACCTCACCGCTCACACCTGCAGAAGAATCCTAGTTAAAGGCCTTGTTTTAGCGTGAATATAAATTCAATTGAGAACACAGTAAGACACGATTTCGGTTCATTATCGAGACCGTGGAATCGATTGAAACTGTGCTTAAAATACAATAATAATAATAATAATAATAATAATAATAATAATAATAATAATAATAATAATAATAATAATAATAATAAGACGTCTTTAGGAACGAGTTGGTGCTGAATCTCAAACCCATCGTCCGTCTCTTTCAGGTCCCTGATTGATTATTGATGGAGCAGCTGATAGAGGCTCGCGCCCGTCATTCGAGAAGAATTCCACGTGCTGTTTGGTCAGGGATTTCATCGATAAGCTGCCCTTTGAGCAGCGCTCGTGTTTGATGTGGAGCTCCGAGAGACCTCGCCTCTGTGACTCAGTGAACACACATCCAGAAAAAAAAGAGCAAAGAAACAAACAAAAAAAAGCATGTAAAAGCTACAAAGGCGTTTGTTCTGCAGTGCACGCGCGCGCAACGCATTGATTCATCAAAAAAAAAAAAAGTATGTCACAAAAAACAAACAAAACCCCCCCCACAAAACACTCAATTTTCATTATTTTGTTCCGATTTGTTTTGGGAAATAAATGAAGAAAAAAAAGACGTTGTTAATACTGCGGCAAAACCAATAACGATAATAATATTTTACTACTAAATCAAGTTTTGTTTTCTTCTTCAACCTAATTACTCATATAATGCAACAACGCGTCGTGCGAACATATTTCACACAAAAAATTGCTTAGCTGTCTCGTTTCCATAATTTATTAATAGGACTGTTTTTGTAGTAAGTCAAATATCTATATAAGTTACAAAGAAATAAAACGTACAAATACCGGGGAAACCACAACAAACCAGCAATAGCGTCAAAAAAGTTTGTACAACAAAGCTAGAATTCAAACCTTTTACAGAAATGTACACGCTAGACCTACGGCTCACATTAAATTCTATTAGAAAGCAGAGGCGCATTGGGTTTCACGGCAGTCCAGTCGTGCGTGTGTGTGTGGGTGTGTGTGTGTGTGTGTGTGTGTGTGTGTGTGTGTGTGTGTGTGTGTGCGTCCCTGCTCAGGGTCAGGTGTACCCCAACTATCAGTCTACCGCAACGATCTTCTTTTGTCTCTTTATATAATTTACATAAATAAATCCCAGGACGTTCACATCCACAGTTTATGGGAAAAGTTTCTTCCGCAAGAGTTTCCTTGTAGAATAAAAAGATGCACCTGGAGTTTTTTCTTTTCTTCTTCTTCTTCGTTTTTTTTTTTTTTGTTCAAATGCGTGCATGTGTGCTGCGACGTGCCTCTCTTTTCACCGCGGAGGGAATTTGAACCACAGCCGCTGCGTCTCGTCACCACGTCCTGCCGTACAACAGGGCCGAGCACTGTAAGGCCGAGCCGTACTCCGCTCCGGGGGAGTTCAGGTGGGAGAGGCCGGCCACCTGGCTCTGCAGAGACGGCGGGCTGGAGGAGTGCTGCGCCAAGTCCGGGGAGTGACCCGTGCTGCCCACCTGCTGGCTCTGGTGCTGCCCGAGCCCGGACGCGTTGTTGGACATGATCATGACGTTGCCTCCCTGTTGGTGGTGCGTTTGCGCCGAGGACGTGGGCGTATGGCCGCTGCCTTGACACGGCTTGCCGTCTTTTACCAACACCGGCACGGCCACCCTCCGCGGGGACTGCTGCTGTTGCTGCTGTTGCTGCTGCTGCTGCTGCTGGCAGGAGCCGCTCTCCTGCTGCATCTGCTGCTGGGACACTTTGTCTTTGGCCTGCCTCTTCATCTTGTAGCGGTGGTTTTGGAACCAGATCTTCACCTGGGTCGGCGTGAGGTGGATCATGCTCGCCAGGTGCTCCCTCTCCGGAGCCGACAGGTACTTCTGCTGCTTGAAGCGGCGCTCCAGCTCGTAGACCTGCGCCTGGGAGAAAAGCACCCGCCGTTTTCTCCTCGGAGTGCTGGACAGGGAGCCCATGCCTTTGCCCACGTCTGCCAGGGAGCTGAGGCTGCCCATGCTGCCCATGTTCATGCCCGACGAGGAGCCCATGAAGCGAGAGACTGAGAAAAGAGAAGATTTTTTTTAAAAACTTGAATTAAACAGTTTAATTTGAAAAAGTCAAAGAAAAAAAAGGAAAAATATTAACATTAACTTGTAATTGCGTTCTAATTGTTTGGATTTAATTAGAATTAAATCTAATTTACACCAAATCTGTAAACTATGTTTTTGTTATTAGTTTTACCCGATGATTTTTTTTAAGCGAATAAAAGCGTTCAGGTTCATTTTAGATAAAACATTAACAGATTGAAATAACAGCTTTCACCCCCTATTAGCCACCAGGACGCTGAACAATAGTGCGGCCATCCACGATCCATTTTAATGTTGCACTTTAGTCGTATTCCCTTAATAAGATAAATAAACGTCTATTTATAATAATTGTTTCTAGGGTTTCCATATCTGCTCTGCTGACATTTGCTACGGCTGCATCTTTAGTTTCCTTCCGCCAAACTGCAGCACGACAACAATTCGCTCGTATATTTTTTAAAGCCCGAGTGGAAATCTTTTATGTGCTCCAGATGCTCCAGCTCAAGTGGGGGAAAAAAAATATTACAGATGAATGTAATGAACTTGGGAAGAAAGAAAAAAAAATCTTAACTGTCTGGGCTGGGGATTAGATATTTAGACTATATCTGATTTGCTGCACAGAATAAAACAGTGTGAAAAATGACGTTTGAAACACACAGAGAGCCTCGCTGAGGTAGGGGATGTGGATACTCACTGGTGGAGAAGCGCGGGTCCGGGTTGGCTCCGTACCAGCCGGTGGCCGTGGCGCTGCCTCTCATCCCGTCCTGGTACGCCGGCAGCTCGCCCATGTTGCCCAGGTTGCCGTTGCAGTAGCCCCCCATGGCAGTGTGTGACAGCTGAGAGACACCCGCCGCAGTCATGTGGTAAGCCGCTGACACAGTCCCGTTGTGGCCCATGTGGTGCTGCTGCATCGCCGCCTGAGAGACCTGCGGCTGCCGGTAAGAAGCGAGAGGTGCCCCCAAGTTGTTATTCTCCATACTTACTTTCTTATAGCTTTCCTCAAGGGGACTCAAGATATCGGAAACAGAAAAAGGAGTCGTATGCTTAGGGCTCATCGACATTGTTCTGTGGCTTGGAGAGGGAGAAATTAGAAGGCAAGGCAATCTCTCCTTCTCTTCTCTCTCCCCCTTCTCTTCTCTCCTCTCCTTTTTTTTTTTTTTTTTATTTGGCCAAAGCCCCTCTGGTTCCTGTTGTCTCAACGTCGATCCTAGTAGATGAACACGTAGGAGAGCGCCTCAAGTCGCGCCTTTAATTGGATTGAGTGGGGAGCTCGGTGCTGGCTTTGGTTTGTTTTAGCCGGGTGCCAGGTTTAAGGCTACCATCAGAGGCGGGGCATCGGCAACAATACAAAAAAAAAAAAAAAAAAAAAAAAAAAAACGGCTCTAGCCTCCGAGCGTAATTTCACTTAGAAGACATGTGCTCCCCTCCCACTAACAATAACATAAGCGTCGCCGCACATGATCATAAACGCTCATCCCCGGCGCTGCCGCTGCCGCCGCTGCTGCCGCGGGGCGGTGTCCGGGCGCGCGGCTTCTGCATGGCGGAGTTAGCGACTCGCCGCTGTTTGCTTCCTGACCACAATGCACTTTATTAACTGTAGTGATGTTTACGAGGGCCTCTTGAAGGAAGGAGGCCTATATAGACTTGAGAGTTGGAGAACCACTCTTCGGTTGAACTACTGACTTTTAATGGCCATGAGAGGCCTCCAGTGATTGCAGGATTGTTTGTGTTATGCCTTATCGTACTCAGACATGCAAAAGTGCACTTGCGGGGAGGGGAGGGAAGAAAAAAAAAAAAAAAAAAAAACGCCTGATACTGATAAGTAAATAAATACACATCCGCGCGTTAAGTGGCTGCGTAAATGATTAACCCCCCTAGTTTTTTTTTCTTTCTTTTTTCCTCCCCACGTTTCATGTCATTGGACGAAAGCAGCGTGTTACCTAAATTCAGATGAACACCCTCGTAAAAAGAGAGGGGAGAAAAATCTAGTCTGGCGGAAGGAGAGGCTCTTATGTGAAGTTAACGGTGTTCAAGTAGCTACTTTCCCTGCAGCACAAGTCCAGGTAGCCCTCAGTAGCATCTTGCCTTAATGCTCAAGGAGCGATTACAGTTTAACCCAATCACCTTGAATTTTTTTGTTTTTTGTTTTTTACAGCGTCATCGAAAAGGAGTTAGGCTTTTTCCGGATATTATCTGAAAGTTATTATTATTATTATTATTATTATTATTATTATTATTATTATTATTATTATTGTCCTGGTTGTTGTAAAATGTGTATTTTTTTTTTTTTACATTTACAGAATTTAATTTGTACGGTGGAATATTGCATCAGTTAAAAATGGCACCGCATGAAAAAGACATCTTCATTATTTCATGTGTCAATTTCAATCGTGTTGCTCAATGGAAGTGTGGAGGACATCAATCAGTAAAAAAAAAGAAAGTAAAAAAAGGAAGTTAGTATTTTAGCTTAAAGGTACCATGTCCTTGTGTATTTTTTATTTTCTACTACCAAATGTAGATAGACAATTCAAAGGTTTTTATAAACTACGGTTTTCACTAAATTCAAAGTTGTGAAATCACACATGGTACAAAAAAATTCTGCTTAGTGTGTGTTTGGGTTCACGACCTCACAATAACTGGATTATCAGTTGGTAACAGTAAACAATGTGATGGACGAATAACTTGTCTGTTTCCAACATTCTGTAGCATTTAAGTTACATTTAAAGCAGGATTTTGACTAAAATATGCAAATAAAGAAGAAAAATGGCAAGAAAACCAAATACTTGTATACTCAAAAGAACTATGCCTTCTGTGATGTCAGCAAGAGGCTGGAGTAAGGCTGTTTTTAAAGGAGACGTTTCATTGACTAAATAATTATTCTTAAAATAAATTGAAGACGGATTATCACGTGCCGCTCTGTTGATAGAAACTACATCCAAAGTAAATAGGAATAACCCCACTGAAAAGTCTGGCTAATTGCTTTAAACTTCATTAATGGCTAATAATCTTTATTTTGGTGACAAGTCCTGCCAGGACATCTTGATTAGAATTTAACTGGAGATGTTTGGAAAACTGAAGAGGTTTTATTAGCTGTTATTGTAATTAATTATTTGCAGTGTCCAGCACAAAATAGCCATGACTATATACTGTGATTTTATACAAAAGAGCATCTACTCAGTAAAGGTTAATTAAGACTTGCTATGGAGCGAGAAGTAAAGTGAAATAAACTTCAACATGCTCTGCTTCCTAGTTCCTACACTATAAAATTACATTTTGGACTGTAGTAAATAGGCATTAGAAGTCAAGAAATGTCCTATAACTTTTTTGGCGCAAAGAGCTAACGTTTGTTTCCAGTTTTTGCTTATTTAGCAACAATGCTAATGCTAATGTGAAACCTGCTAAAAGAGAACTCCTTCTTACACTACAAAAATGACTTTTGTAAGGAAGCTAAATACCATTGTACAAGTTGCTGTCAGTAAGTTTTATTTGTTTGAGCAATAATTTAAGTTTGTATCCGTTTGTAGCTAGCGTAGTGACGAAGCTATAAATTAGCTAGTAAGGTGAGCTCGTTCAGCGCGAGGCAGTCCTTAATAAAAACATAATCTAATCTGATCTTGTCAGGGAAAAGCTTTCAATCTTACCCTTTAGAATATATATAGCCTATATTTTTAAAATGTGCTATTATTTTAGTATGTATTTTTGTGATATTTGTTTGATTTTAAATCGGGACAACCACCCAAACATAATTGAACATTCTTAAGATATTTATTTGGCTTATTTTTACATTTTGATTGAAATTCGCCACATATGTTTGCATTTTTACTGTTAAACTTGTACTATTTTCTAATCAATTTTATAAGAATGCAGGAAGCAAAGTTTAAAACCATACAATTGTAAATTCTACTTGTTTGCGCACTTTCATCACGCATTATTTTTGCCTTATTAATTTAGTATGTTATTATGCATCATGTTCCGCTCCTGAATCCTACATTTTTATTGTTGCGCTACATACAGTATGACGGTTTATAGCTCTAGTAAAATACAATTATTTAGGATTAAAAAACAACAACTAAATAATTAATAATAAAGCAAACAAACGAAAAAAAGGGAAAAAAAAGTTTGGAATATTTTGATTTTGTGAAACCTTTTATCCAGGTGTCAATCCCAGCAGCAGCATCATAACATTTCCCAGCATCCGCCTGAGTCTGCAGCTCCATCCACCTCTGACAGGAGAACAGCGTCTTCTGCTGGCAGCCTCTCTCAGCAGACACCGGTTAACTCCTAAGTAATGACCAGTCTTTGCATCTATTTTTTTTTTTTTGTTGTTGTTGTTGTTGTTGAAAATTTCATCTCACAAAAAGAAGCGAACAACAGTCAGAATCAGTGAGTGTGCTGCCTGTAGTGACATGCCGATCACTTTTAGTTTGCTGTGCATTGCGCTGCCTCAACTGCACCCTTATTCCTGTCATGTTGCTCCAACATAAACAACCAAATCACATGCGCATCTAATGAAGCAACACTATCATGTAGTTACATAGTACATGGCTACACATATTGTTTTGCATCGCAACAACTAACTGCCTGGCCATAATAACAGCGAGCAAATGAAATTACAGCATCTTCATACATCCACGCTAAAGCTTGCATATGCATTCCTTAATTAAAGAATTCTGCAAGACATTCTTAATCATCTAAATCAGTACCTTTCTCCCCCCCCCCTCCTATCCCTGCTCTACCACGCGCTCATTACGGCCAATTAGCGGCAATTAGTCCAAATGTTCCCGCTAATTTCTGGAAATAATGAGAACACTAAGAAAGTGGCGGATGTGAGCCTACGGAGCCTTTGTTATTGAGGCCACACGCTGTGGTTGCTCAGCTGATTGCTACATGATATAACCCCCCGAGGATAGAGAAACTAAACGTCAGGAGTTGAAAAGAACAAGAGGTGGTCCTTTATTATTATTATTTTTATAATTTAAGATCAATACATTCTTTTTAATTGTTGTAGGGTCAATATTCATACGTTGAACACTTTAAAATGCAGCTATTCTGTTTCTAATGCAAATATTGAACAGATGGTAGGTGGATAGTTTTTAGCTATGATATTTAATCAAAATTAGATCTGTTATCTCTATCGAGATCTCTGTTAACAGATCTCTGTTATAACAGATAACAGAGATCTGTTATCTGTTATGGTCTATTGACCATAAAGACAATAAGTCTATTGTCTTTATGGTCAATAGACAATATTTATTCCACTTTATACAAACACAAAGGGCGGTTTTTAGAAAAAATATCAAGTTTTTATATTGATCTTAAACCTCTCTGGTGGATTTGAGTGGCCTAAAAATCCTTTTCAAAAACCGGATGTTAGCATTTTCACCATCCTGCCACAGAGCCTTTGAGCAAATGCTCATGCGTCACGCAGTCACGATTATGTCATTATTTGGAGGGCCTGATTCTGCAGCAGGGACACTGTTTTAGAGCAAGTTAGGGTTTTTTTTTTTTGGGTGAAACGCGCCACCTTGTGGATCAATAAGTCTCTTCACCATGTGGAGCTGAAGCAGATTTTCAGCGTTTTACAGTGAGTGTTATTCCGCCATCTAGTGGAGAGTTTGGTGACTGAGCAAACAGTCAACAATGAAATCAAGTTTGAAAAGTTCTTAACCACCAGTATCATGAAAGTTCTGACTTTCACTAAATGAACAACTTCATCCATAATCCAGCCCACATGTACACATGAGTCTCATCACCTCCTCATCACAAGCAACACATTTCTGAACCAGAGTTTTCAGTTACACCAGAATGAAAACCAAACCCTGTAATCACTAAGCTCTATGTAGGGATCACTGTGAGTCACAGCCTGTTTTTGTCAAATGATGCTTTAAAATGAGGAATTCAGCTTGTCTACATGTTTTTTAATCTGACATGTAGGCAAACATGAGCTGACCAAGACATAAGCAATGTTTGCAGCTGAGGATGATCCCTAACAGCCCAAGGAGCAGTTGTACCAGTTGAATTTTTATTTATTTTTTAATATCACAAAAATACAATGTAATATAGATTGAATTGAACTTGGGAACAAAAGTTCAAAAGCCGCCTTCGCTATGAGTAAAGTCAATTTTCAGACACCAATTAAATCGATCAGGATAATTTATAACTATATGCTGAACATTGTGAACATTGACATTCTGCGTAAAACAAAACAACAAAAAACTCATAAAACATGAGACTTAGAAGATGAGTAAGCAGATCAATTAGTAACAGCATGACATGAATCTCTTTTAGTATTACTTCTGTTCTCATAAAAAAGCTCCCACCTAATTGTACTTTACTTCCCAGACAAACACAGTTTATAGGCATAACTTCAGTTTTTACTAAGGTATAGGTTTTTTTTCTTAACAAAACAGATTTATTCTACCTGTACATCATTCAATGTTAGGGTGTAAATTAAAAGTCAAAACTCTAGAAATGAAGTCATCTACTTGTATGCATGTTTAAAACGGAGCACACATAATCATGAGCGTACGAATACTTATCAGGTTCTTGTGTTTGTGATGAATGATGATCATTTTTGCTACCTTAATATTCATATTGCACAACATGCAGAAATTATTTCCATACCTAATTTACTGCTGTAATGCATTCAAACAATACTTTGTCCCTATGTAATTTCCTATTACAGTATAATACATAAAACATTTTGTTAAAAAAAGGTTCTTCAGTGGCATTTCCTACATCACCTTGT